AGCAAAAGAAATAATCAGCAAAGTAAACAGACAACCCACAGAGTGGGAGAAAATCTTCACAATCCATATATCTGACAAAGGACTAATATACAGAGTCTACAAAGAATTCAAACAAATCAGCAAGAAAAAAACAATCCCATCAAAAAGTGGGCTAAGGACGTGAATAGACAATTCTCAAAGGAAGATATACAAATGACCAACAAGCATACAGAAAAATGCTCAACGTCACTAATTATAATGGATAGGAAAATAAAAACCACAATGTGATACCACCTTACTCCTCCAAGAATGGTCACAATTTAAAAATTTAAAAAAAAAATAGGTGTTTGTGTGGATGTGGTGGTGGGAAGGTAAACTAGTACAACCACTATGGAAAACAGTGTGGACATTCCTTAAAGAAATAAAAGGGAAACTACCATTTGATTCAGCAATCCCACTACTAGGTATCTACCCAGAGGAAAACAAGTTATTATATGAAAAATATTCTTGCACATGCATGCTTATAGCAGCAAAATTCACAATTGCAAAGATATGGAACCAGCCTAAATGCCCATGAACCAACAAGTGAATAAAGAAAATGTAATATATATATATATATATCATACACACACACACACACACACATACATACATCATGGAATACTACTCAGTCATAAAAAGGAACAAAATAATGTCATTTGCAGCAATCTGGATGGAGTTGGAAACCATTATTCTAAGTGAAGTAACTTAGGAATGGAATACCAAACATCATATGTTCTTACTTATGTTATGTAGGAGCTAAGCTATGAAGATGCAAAGGAGTAAGAATGATATAATGGACTCTGAGAATTTGGGGTGAAGAGTGGGAAGGGAGTGAGGGACAAAAGACTGCATATTGGGTGCAGTGTACACTGCTCATATGATGGGTGCGCCAGAATCTCAGAAATCACACCTAAAGAACGTATCCATGTAACCAAACACCACCTGTTCCCCAAAAACTATTGAAATCATCATCCTCATTTTTAAAAATTTAAATAATGTCTGGGTGTGGTGGCTCACGCCTGTAATCCCCGCACTTTGGGAGGCTGAGGCGTGCGGATCACAAGGTCAGGAGATCAAGACCATCCTGGCTAACACGGTGAAACCCCGTCTCTACTAAAAATACAAAAAATTAGCCGGGTGAGGTGGCGGGCGCCTGTAGTCCCAGCTACTCAGGAGGCTGAGGCAGGAGAATGGAGTGAATCCAGGAAGTGGAGCCTGCAGTGAACTGAGATTGCGCCACTGCCCTCCAGCCTGGGCGACACAGCGAGACTCCGTCTCAAAAAAATAAAAATAAAATAATAAAATAAAATAAAATAAATTAAATAAAAATTTCAAAAGAAATTAGTTATAATACAAAACCTTCCATTTCAAAAAAGTATTTTGCTAATAAATTGTTTGCTAGCTAAACACCTTTTATATCAAAAAGATGACTGGAATTTATCTAAAATCTGAAAGATTCAGAATATTTATCATCTTATTTTTTTCCTACAGAAGTGATAATTATTTTGAGTATACAAGCATATACCATGCAATAGTTGGAATATAGTTGTACTAAAATAAAATTCATTGTTTATCTGAAATTCAAATTTGACTGAGTATCCTGTATTTACTCTGGCAACCTTATGCATAAGTGAATTGGGTTGAGGAAACAAGAACCAAATTGGCTATACAGAAGGACTTTTTAAATAGCTATGAATTTTGGCTACCAAATACCATGTAGAGGCTACCACAGTGGTATCAAGTCCCCTCCCCAATAACTCTAAGACATCTACATCACCGCTACTGTTCTATTCTGCTGGAACTCCTAAGCACTTAGGGCTTTTCCAACACATCTAGCATCTGAGTAAAATATGGGAGAGCCTTACTCCATATCATAGTCAGCTTTTGGAACCATGTTTGTAATTTGTTTTACTGCCTAGAGGACTCTCAGGCTAACTCATTATTCCATTTCAGACAAAATCCCTGAAAAAAAAAATCTATTTCTTTATTTAGCACAGAAACCACTTTTATTTTAGAGTTCCAAAGCAGAGCCCATATCCTCTTCTCCTCAAATCAAACATTCCTGCAATCTTCATGCCTAGCTTACAATTGAACTGGGTCTGCATCTCCTGAATAAAACGTATCACTCTCAACCTCATCCCCAAAAGCCTCAAGTTTCTGGCATCTTTCTCTGTTTCCTGATAGTTCCCTCTTCCTATATTTGCACTATTTTTGTTCTCAGTATGCACTGCAACACAATTTCCCCGTGTGGACCAAAGCCATACTATAGAAACAAATAAGAACCCCAACCGACAATTGCTGCAAAGTTCACTATTATTCCTATCATAGAAAAACAGCATCAAGCATAATGACAGTTAGAAGTGTGCATTCAACTAAGGAAGTAAACCAAATTGAATTCCAGGAATATCATTTAATATAAAATTAGCTTTACATTCACAGTTTATTATATGATAGAAGAAATAAAGCTCTATTACTTGTTACTTGTATCTTTTGGTCTAAGATTGCATTAAAATTATAACTTACAGCTTTTTACATTTATAGCTATAACAAGATTTCAAAAACTCAAGAAAATCAAATGCTTTCTATAATACTGTACACTGATAATAATTAGATAATGATGATCTAAAACCCCTCTAAATGTTGATGTGCCTTTTAAACCTTAATTCACTCAGCATATACTGCTCACCAGGTTTTTGCACAGGACTATGCTGCGGTCTTTGGAGATATCAAATACATGGCACTGCAATACAATCTTTCTTTGAATTACAATCTAATTATCAAGAGACGAATGTATTATTTGACATAAAATGTCAAAATGTAAAATATCTTCAATGACGGTGCAACATTTTCTAAATTTTTCAACTAACTCAAGCTCTTAACGTCTCCTACACAAGTGCTTAAAAGAAAAGGTGTTATATGATAAAAATTAATTAAGGATGGAATTAAGAATTCAGCAATGCAGTTGCAGTCTGCCATGCTTTCTGAGATGAGCTCTTCTTAATCTGGCACACGCTTTCCCTCTCACCCCCTTGCATAACCAGGTTTGCTCAAGCCATAATTATGATAGTTTGTTCCATAGCTGCGGTATCTGTATGTGCCATTTTTCACATCTCTCCCCTTTTTACAGCTGATGAGTTTGTCTTCCAATGTCTACATTTGCAGTTTGGTTCTGCCAGGTTTAATTAGTTACTGCTGGTAATAATATCGGATCTCATGACCTACTTGTTTCTCTATCTCCTTAGTGACTGCCAAATGGAACAAATACACATAATCAGAAAATAAAGACTAAAGACGCTATTTGAGCGGAGGATAAATTAAGGAATAATCTACTATCAAACAGAATAAGAAAAGCATAAGCATGCAGAAAATGCAATAATCCCTCATTAGAACTCCCTTAACCTTTTCTGCAGCTCACATGCATCCACGAGGACCTCCAGCATTGCCTAAGAAGCTGCTTGGAGTCTTCCTTTAAGTTAGATTTTTCTTTTGTTTCTATCATATTGTCTTCCACTCCTACTATCCATTCAGACACCCACGGAAAAGTTATAAATTGAAAAGCCTTCTAGAGAAAGAGCTACTGTGAACTAAGTAATGCTGTGATTTCTAGAAAGCTTTTAATTTTAAGCACAAATGGAAATATGCATGTCATGATTGATGATGTGCTGAGGCATATGTGTTTATGACCTTCAAAAATAGGTTTCAAATACCAAAAAAGAAAAAGTTCTTTAATATGCTACTTTTATTGTACTACCTCACTGTGCTTGTATCATTGGTTTGTCATCGTACATATATTTATAGCCAGAAATCCACCTGTCTTGGTTAATATTCCAAGTCAATTAAACTGTGGGAAAATCTCAGACTAAACCTTAGTGTTACGCAGGAGAACATAATTTTTTTAATTTCAACTTTTATTTTAGATACATGTTTGTTACATAAGGATATTGCACCCGCATAGTGAACATAGTACCCAATAGGTTGTTTTTCAACCCACAGCCTCATCCTTCCCTACCCCCTGTAGCAGTGTTTATTGTTCTTATGTTTATGTCCATGTGTGCTCCATGATTAGCACCCACTTATAGTGACAGCATGCAGTATTTTGTTTTCTATTCCTGTGTTAATTTGATTAGAATTATGATCTCCACATCCATCCATTTTGCTGCAAAGAACATGATTTCATTCTTTTTTATAGCTGCATAATATTCCCTAATATATATGCACCATATTTTCTTTATCTAATCCATCATGGATGGACATGTAGGTTGATTCTACGTCTTTGCAATTTGTGAATAGCATGGCAATCAGCATACGAGTGCATGCATCTTTTAGGTATAATGATCCAGGGAAAATACAATTTAAGACAATAAAACCTTGCTATAAAACTGAAGAAATTTAAAGTGCTCTAGCTGTTTAGTTAATGCTCTCTCATTTCATTCAACAGTGTACTTTTTATCTAAATTACACTATAACTGTCTCAGCTCCTCATCTGAAAATCCTGCCATAGAACTGAACTTAGAAAGTCAGTTTTCATAGTGAGAATATTCCAAAACTCCATTAAACATTTTCAAAGCCAAAAAAAGTCAGTCTTCCTTGAGAATAACTTAAAAAAAATTTTACACCATTCATATAATAAAAGAGTCATTTAATTTATAGATACATTAATGATATGCCAATATAAAGAGATTCTGAGTCTGGGCTAAAACAAACAAGATAAACAAAAATGAATCATTTGCATATTTTAAAAATTTATTTTATGAAAGCACTTGGGGATTATAGACAGAGTCTAAGCTCCAGTGTCCAAGTTTACATAAAACATCATTTGGGGGAGTTTTTTATAGAGCTCCAATAAATGCCAAAATTTCTACATGGGCCCTATATTTATTAAGACAAAACCCAAGTGATTTTCAAAAGATTGAATTCAGGACTCTTGATCAATTAGACATTTCTGTTTTATAAGTTTGATCTTTAATTTTTTTTTAAAGGATGGAACGTGGCAAAGTTCACGAGAAGGAGCAAACAGTATTTGAAGACCTCTTTGAAAAGTCTCCCCAGGAGCAGGAAGATAGGCGCCCGCTGTACCAGTCAAAGACACCACCCTACTGTGATGTTAATAAGATGAAGGGTACTAGTACAAAAAGCCACAGTAATTATAGGAAGAGGTAAATACTTTTCTTTGTTATTCACAGACTGCCTCTCCATGCAGCCTGCACGTTAACACAAGAGTTTTTGTTACACTAAATGCACATGTGAATTAAACATTTCTTTAGAATTTTGCCTTTCACTAATAGGTCAGAGAAGAACCACAATAGGGACAAATCACTGCCAATCATATAGGATATTAGAAGATGCCTACATCTCCTAATTCTTTTGTTCTGCCTTTCAAGAAAGTTATTTTGCCACCAATTTTTCAAATACCTGTCACAAATATTAATGCCAACTGGTTTCCAGAATCATGTGGATTAAAGGGATAATAGACTAACAAGACCATTTTATATATACCCAAGAGGGCACCCAAAAGTAAAATACAAGATAGGGAAACAGAATACAGTCATGGAATTCCTGTAAAATTTCTTTAACATCTCATTGAGTCTCTTCTGCAGAAAAACAATGTCAAAAAAGAGACGGAAAACAACATTGGCTTTTAGCCAAGTGTGAAGTTCTGTATTTAGTAATCCTGAATTGTCACAATAATCATGCGATTATTTAGCTTAATGTGGTTTCCTGAATATATAACTGAAAAGAAAAAAAAATGGATTCTGATCCGCTGAATCCAAGAATGTATGAAATTCTAAAACGAAGTTCTTGTGCAAAAGCTTGGCATGAGTCTATTTCCCTAAATGAATCAAGTGACAAGCAGGGAGGTTGTCAGGAAGTAGAGATATTTCTTTTTCTTTGCAAAAGGAGCAAGCATATATTTAAATCCCTAGTTGGTTTAACTAATTGGTGTGGAGTGAAGTAAATTAGCGGCCCTAATGCAGACAGTTCAGAGCCTGACAATATGGGAGCATGTAGGTTATGATCTGATCCTACGTAATAGTGGCTATGCCCTAAACACAGATTATGGAAAGAAGATAAAATAAGCATGTGTCCCTGACCTTGAGGAGAATCATTTCTAGGACACTATTTCAGCCCTCTGCATATATGATTCACTTAATATTTGCCTGCTTTTCAGAACTTAAAAAACAGGATTTTTTTCTTCAATGATAGAGAAAGGTTGAACCATTGAGATGTAATCTGCTACAGATAATAAGTGAAAAGGTCTAAATATGCCATAGACACTCTCCCACAATTCTTTATGAATGTGGTCTGTGATTTATAATTGCTTTAAAGAGTCAGGCTCAATGGTGGGGGTGGTGTATAGCTAGGGAGAAGTGGTCAAAGGGAACGCCATTCTTGGGGCAAGTGTCTTAATTCACGATTATTGCATAAGCTCACTCAGACTACACAGATATAGAGAATGTCCTTAGAATAGAAAATCCTGGACTTGGAAAGAAAACAGTGGTGACCAAATCCAATCCTTCCCCATAAGCAGAAAATGACCCTGAAACATCTAGGATTTTACAGCACTCAATCCCTCCAGTGATTAAGAGCTTTCTGCCTTTGACAAGCCCAAATCATTTTTGGACAGCTGTGACTACGAGACAGGGCTACCTTTTACACAATTGATATCTGCCTCCCTGTGGCATCTCTCCATTGGTTTATTCCCTAGGATTTCATCTAAATTGCTATGAAAATATTGAACAACGCAGGGTCAGAGTCCTCCCCCTAGATATGCAAGGATCACCTGGTTAACACTCCTTGCTTAATCTCCTGAGGCTCCCCTAATTGTTCGGTTCTCTGTGGGAAAGCAGCCTCTGAATCTAAGGATAGTATCTGTGTGCTGCCTATCAAATGCAGAAGAGGGATTTTACAACCTATCAAACTCAAAAGAGGGACTTGGCAAGACCCTTCTGAGTGATTTCACTTTGGCTGTGAGTTATTAGCACTTCTCTTTTAAGTACCAGCAGACCATCTTTTCTAGAATTTGGCTCGAGATAAAGGCGGGGTGCCAAAACTGATTTCATATACTTCTCAATGTAGTCCACAACTAACCCTAGGCCTACTAAAAAAAAAAAAACAATTACATCTCAGCATCCTTATAAAATTATAATTATGCCACGGTTCCAACATTGGAGAGGAAAACACTGATTTGACACTCAATATGTCCACATGGGACAAAATCTCTTCTGAGAACATTTACATTTTTAGTGATATCTTACAACATCTTAAAATAGCAACAACAACAAAAATCCTTTGGTATGCAGGAGGACCACCAATGTTTTAAGATGGTGTTTTTTAGATCTATTTCCATGGAATATGCATGTCAACCTCTCATTTTTCTTCAAGCTCCTCCTTTGGCTTCAGTATCTCCACACTTGCTTTTCCCTAAACTTCTCTGACTTTCCTTTGTTAGTCCCTTTTACTATATTCTCTTCCTACACTTGTCTGTTATTGTTGGCATTTTCCTTATTTTCTCTACATTATTTCCTTCAATAATATCCTCCCGTGACTTCAGCAACTGCCAAAAAGTCAATAACTTCCCAAACCTGTATTTCTGGCCCTAACAACTTCCGGGAGCTCACTCATGAGTAAAACCCCATACTCTGTCATCCCTGCCTTTGGATCATGCTGCCTTCTTTATGAAAGGCCCCTTCCTCCCACCTTTCTGACTGGCATAATTTAACTCACTCTTCATAGCGCAACATCAATGTCCATTCACGTTTGTAACTGGCTAATACTTACCTCACTGCACGACACCTGCTATATGGATGCATATGGCTTATCCCTAAGCCATAAGCTCCTTGAGGACAAGAACTGCAGCATATCCACCTTTATTTTTCTAGGACTTAGACTAATGCATGAACTATTCCAGGGGCTAAATGAAATATCAGTTGAATGAAATAGAATATGAAATGAGTTTCTCACTAAGCAGAGGCGTTGAGGTGCCGGTGCTTGCAACTCAGTCACTGAATACGTAAAGCAAGTGCTTTTTCAGATGGGTATTTGTTGTGCATGCTTACAAAGCATGCATGGTTTATCCTCTCAATGGCCTGTGCTTAATGCTCCCTAGGTACCCTGGGGGCTTGGTAATCTTTGAAAGCACTGCACCAAAGTTAGAAGCCTAGCAAGCGTGCACAGATAATGGCATTTAAAGCTAGAACTTCGCCTTCCTGTTAGAATAACCCAACTAGCACATTCTCACAATAAAACAAAATATTTGTCAAAGTTTACATGATTTCTCAGTGAAATATTCTGCAAGCTATGAAATGTAGCCACCTCTAAATAAACATAGCAATGCATAGCATAGCATCCCAAAGTAAAACTGAAAATCAGTTATCTTTTCAATGCAAATGAACATAGAGAATCTCACGTCCCACAGTACTTCCTGTGTCTTCTAAATTCCCATGATTAAATGTTCCAAGTGTTTGTTTAGAATGGTCTTGATGTTAGTCACAGTGTTACAGTGAGAACCATGATATTTTTACAGAGAACTCCAGGATCTGAAGGAGCCACAGAGACATGGTTGTTAGCAGGAGCAGGGACAAGATTTAAAGGTGGATGCTGAAATGATCAATGCAGCCTTTTTGTGTGTGTGTGAAAAAGAATGAATAGAAAGATTTGTAATGAGATGAACAGCACAAAAACAAAGGTAACCCATAGAATATCACGAGAGAATATATCCTTCCTGGGGAGTATCATGCACTAATGGGAAACACAGTTAAGTGAAAAAGAATGGATAGGTTAGGAACCAAGAGCAAATGAGCTTCAACCATGTGCTAGGCATGGGCTGGGTGCTGCACACTGGTTGACACTGGACATTAGAAGAAAGTTGGTCTAATACCTATTTAGTCTCTATTTTTAAAATGAAAATATTTATTTTGAGATTAGCAGCTTCCTCTCTAATGAATCTTATGTATCCTGTATGAATACTTTGCAGCTATAAATGAAAGAAGTCAAATGAGAGTTTCTCTGTATTCACCCCACTTCCAATCCAGAGATTCTTGTAAATGATATCTGAATCATATCATTACTTGTCTTTTCTTTGAATAATGCACATTTGGATAATGGGCAAAGTAAATGTGCATAACATGGCAGAGAATGAGCAAGGTTACATGAGTATAAAATACACTCATTAAAGAAAAAAAAGTTTATCATGGAGGATCAGCAATATTGGATGGGACAGTAAAATGAATATGTACCTATATATAATTAGAGAAAGTATTTCTTTCATCTTTCTCCGTTCCCTGTGGCACTTAAGTGCACAAGAAATGTTCTTTGAAATCAAGGAGCACCGTCTACTGGATTTGGAGAACATGATGCTGGGAACAATTCAAACGGAGTTTCATTTTCTAAAGTACAGATGAATGTCTTAAGAATTAACAATGTAGAACACGATAGGTAAAAATGAACAATGTGATAAAAACAAACTTGAACATGCTGCTCAATGCCCTTGGATTTCTAATAATTACACTCTTTCTCTGAACCTCCTTAGGGCTCGGGTATAATTAAAATAGCAATTACTGACAACAGCAAGATTTTCTCTCATAGATATATGAAATAACTAGCAGCAACATAAATGAGGATGAATGTAAATATTATATTTAAAAGTTTCACATCATACTTCATAGAATGATAGCTTTTTTTAAAAGTGTATCTCTGGGTATATAATTTGCAAGTGCATAAACATAGAACTTCCAAGTTAAGAATGCCCCCAGGTAATGAGAATGAGTGCTGCTGTCATATGACATTGGCAAGCCTCTGAAATAGTGCAGCACTGGATTTCTTAACTTTATCTTGCCAGTGTTCAGTGATAAGAATGGAGGGAAATCCATACCGGGCCACTCTTACAACACAGCCCCCAGGGAACCATGCTCAACCCCTGGCACAGGGTGACATGTCTGATGTTGCTCTGCTACATTCTCTCCCACCTCACACTTTTTCTCCTTCTGAAGAGTAGAGTTATGAATGTCTAAGACAAAAGTCAGCATCATCACCTGCTTCTAATCAAGATATTTCATTGTTTTCTGGAACACAGACAGATACCAGTTCTCCCTCCAAAGGGACACATTTTCTAATCAGCATGTCACTAGTGAAAGCACCAGCACCCTTTACTCAACAC